TAATTTGATAATAATAAATGAGATGAGAAATCGATATAATTTTGCTCAAAAATATCTCACTTGAATTCTCTTGAATGTTGTAATGAATGACAAGTGATTTGGTATTTATAGCAGTTTAAAAACATCAGAAACTCTACCGAATCGGACGATCATTCAGACGTTTTGTATCGTTCTAGACGACTGATTTAGCCGTTGCTCATTGAAGTCAGAACATTCGAAAAATCGATCGTCGCGGATGAACCGGACATCCGATTCACCATCCAGATGGACCGAAAATTTTCGGCTCCTCTCGTTTGAACGTTTGAAAAAATGCAGGCTTATAAATTAATTTTTCGAGGTAAGTGATGCTAGTAGGTTTGTAAATTTTATTTTTGAAAAATAAATTTTGTGCAAACTTTTTACGAAGTTAATTTTTCTTGTGCATGAAAATTCATTACGTGAGCTTTTAATGAGTCATTGCCAAGGATTAAAGTATTTTACCTTTACAAATGAGCTCAAATATCTAGGTCTAATATCTTCGATTGATTTGGCACGATGCTCGATTTGTCTCCGATTGTGAATGGTGAATCCATTTTGAATTTTCTTGATCGTCAACTGCAAGTCCTTTGATAGCAATTGTTTTGTCTCCAATTTGATCAATATGTAACAATGAAAACTTGAATACAAATGTTAGAGATAAAACTACTTTGTTTGTTATAATCAAACTATAAGATCAACCATAGGTCAATATTTCACTTTACCTATTTCACTAGGCAAAGAATATTTTTTTAATACTTTATGTGATACAAGTGCAAGTCTTAATTTAATGCCTTTATATTCTAAAGCAAATTAGGACTTGGAGAAGTAAAAGAGTAATGGTGTCCTGTAGTTGGCCGATAGAAGTATCAAATATCCAAGAGGCAAAATTGAGGATGCACTCATCAAAATTGAAATTTTGATATTCCCAGCAAACTTCCTTGTTCATGACATATTAGAAGATCAAAATATTCCAATAATCTTGGGTCGACGCTTCATAGCAACTAGTCGAACCTTGATTGACATGAAAAAAGGAGAGCTGGCCTTAAGGTGGAGGATGAACACGAAGTTTTAAAATTATACAATCCATCTAGGTAACCATTATACCTCGAGAGGTGCAAGTGTATTGATGAAGATGATCTACAAAATTCTCAAAAGAGAAAACCTAAAGTTAGTGGAATTCATGGTCGAGATGAGAACGAAGAGTTTATGATGTGGAGAGCAAAACGAGGATGCAAGGCTGGAAATTGCAAGGAATGCAAGGGCAAAAATTTTCTACTTGATCCATCATGATAATCTCCTCTACAGAGTCTAGCTAAAGACTTTAAATTAAGCATTTATTGGAAGGCAAATCCAATTTCTTACCCTTTTATTATTCTTTATGTCAATGCATTGCATGTAGTTTATTATAGTGCATTATTTTTAGGCATATTTTTATTTAATTAAAATGGTTTATCATGTCTATATTAAGCCTAATAAAACAAAATATATATTTGACTCAAAAATAGTAAAATACACATGTGGGACGTCTTTTAAGGCTCTGGCGACGTAAAAAATGTTTATCATGTATGCCACATTCTAGCCGTTAGCTTAAGTTTTTACTCTTATACTTGTTTCTTTCATTTTTCTAAGGTACAAAGATATCAAGTAGGAGGAAGCTTAGAAAGTTGAAAAATGAAATGAATGGATACGACAAGTTACCTAAAATATTTGACAGAAAAACCCGAGGAATACTTTCCTCTTTTCTGACAATGTTTGTTGCATGCTTGTTTGTGTGTTAATTGAGGTTATGGTTTTATTTGTGGACAAGCAAACATTTAAATTTGAAACAAAATTGATGAGTGTATTTTATAAACTTATTAAGGCTTTAAAATATTGATATTTTGTTGTTCTTTTGAGAAATTATAGCCTAATTTAGTTTATGTTTCATCTATTAGGAAAAAAAACTCGATGATTGAAAGTGAAATTAGATGAAATTGGGAAAAATCGGTGAAATCCAAAGTTTGAGGACTCATTTGTAACTTTTTAATAGTTGTTTCAGACCACAAAATGATGAATCAAGAGTTTACAGGATCAATTGGTTGCAATTAGAAGTTGAAGGATCGAATTCGCAAGGAAAATTTACTTAAACGAATCAAGAATCAAAATTTGGGACGAAATTGCACAAAATCGGAAAGAAGCGGCCCCGCACGCTCACATAGCCCAAAATTTATATGCGGTGCGCACGCTCATCACTACTTTTCAATTACCAAGAGAAAATTTGCTCTACGGCGCATACGGGGCAAAAATGCTTGCTCATGGGGACCTTCGTGGCAGTTTCCCTATTTTGTTACAAAGCCTATTTGGAAATGAATTTTTGCATAATTTCTACCTTCTTTTCGACCATTATAGATACTGAATGTGGGAACATCATTGATGAGACTTCTCAAGAACCTATCCTACATATATTTCACCAATTTATCACATCGAAATAGGCCAAAATCATCAATCTTTTGAGCAAATCCCAAGACTATTGTAAGAATCATTAAAAAAAATTATTGAAGAGATTCAAAAATTTAAGATTCATCATCTTCTTCTTCAATTAATCAAAATCAGGGTGATGTTTAAAAATTAATGATGTTTTCATGTAATTTTATATTATCCTAGTTTCCAATTACTAAGGGACAGTTCTTTTTGTGTTTTAGTTTTTTGTTTTGAGTTTTGAATTTATTTTGGATTTTGAGTTTTTTTAGTGTCCATTTTGAGATAACTGAAAACATGTTTTTTTTTTGTCATTTTGAAAAATTGTTTTCAAAAATAAAAAAATGAAAAACACGTTTACTTTCTAAAAACTAGTTATTCAATATATATATATAGTTCTCTTACTTATATAACATAGCAAAAATGGTTGCCATTGTGATTAAGACATTGAAATTCCATGCTGGTGACCCTTGTTCGAAGATGAACCGACCAATTTATTTGAAAAATTTTGTACTGTACATATAAAAAAAATTTCTTTGTATTGAATTGCGATGAAATTGAATCAAACTCGTGATCTTCAGAAAATTCGTGACTCTCCCAACTATGCTAATTGGCAAAATTTGGCCGTTTTTTGCATTTATAAGTTTTGATTTGATTTTAACTGAAAATAGTCAAAACGACTCTTTTGGCATTTTTCGTTTTCTTTGTAAATATTAAACTCGGTTTTGGAAATTCATTTTCAAAAATAGGTAAGTAAATGTGTTTTCGAAAACTGAAAACTGAAAATGATCTGAAAACAGTAAAGAGAACCGGCCTAAGACATTGATGAACTCTTATTTTGAAGTTTCTTTTTTTTTTTTTTGGCAACGAAGGGAAGAGCAACTGATATTCATTAAAAAATCATTGATGAAATTCGAGATTTTAAGATTCGTTATCTTCTTCTTCAATTAATCAAAATCAAGGTGATGTTTTACAAATTAATTATGTTTTCATGTAATTTTGTAGTGTTATTCTAGTTTCCAATTGCTAAGACATTGATGAACCCTTATTATGAATTTTTTTATTATAAATTCAATAATTTGACACTCGATATATGTTTTTTCTTCAATGATTGTTATAGGATTTAATGAGCTTTCAATTACCTTATCAATAATTGGATTGATTATGAATTTTATTGATTTTGAGAGAAACGAAAGGATATATATAGCACTTTATAACAATTATTATAAAGTCTCATGGGGAATAGAGATATACCGTTTTGTTTGCATGATTTCTATTAATGGATGCTTTTGATTAAGTTAATAACACTGATCAACAAAAATGTACAAATATTATCATGTTATTGATTTACATTGAAATAGATTAGTAAGAAAGATTTGAGGTCTTAGCAATATCACATCGAAATTTACAAAAGTTTTATAAATTACTCAATAGAATAATTAGTTTAATTAACTAATTTAGCATAAATTGTTTAACAAAATTTTCTGTTCAATTAAATTTAACATTAATTGATCTTAGATTAAGAAGTAGACCTCGTGTGAACAATACTTTATTCATCACTTTAATACTTGTTTGTGATACTATACACTAGCGGGAAATCAAACAATCAATCGCCATAGCCGTTGCTATCACTATTGTTCTCTTCATTCTCATCGTCATCGCTAAATAATGCAATAATTCCATAAGATTACCAAATGTGTGATTTTGGTACCTCTGAAAATTATGGCGTGGCTATTGGCCCAACTCTCATCCCCGCCCCAAGAACAATCCATCTACATGATTGTTGGAAAATGTTGGAAGGACAAGCGGAAGCCCTTAGGTGCTCAAGTGGTAAACTTTAGGAACTTCAATAACAAATTTCCCAAATTTTAATTATAATATTAACAGGGATTAGTCGTTAGATCTACATAATTTTTGAAGTTGAAGGCCACTCAAAATTTTACCGGAGTAATTCTATAATAATATCTAGACTTTAATATAAGTTACAGTCAACAATTAATTTTATTCATATATTTTATGTGATCTACAACATTTCAACTGTACATTTCATCAATTTTTATGAAAATCTACTAAAATTTTGATTTTAATACCCCACAAAATGAGAGCTTAATTCAATGTGTTATTCTTTTTACATGTATCGAAATAAATTTTAATATATACTATAACACTACATTAATAAGGAAAAAAGAAAGACAAAAAAAAAAAAAATTTTAATTGGAGAGAAAATGAAACTATTTATCAAAACTACGAATAAATCAGGGCTCAAATGTCAACATTGATTTGATTAGATTTTTTTTTCCATAATGTTTCTCTCTCTCTCTACTTTCTTTCTTTTCTTTACGAGTTTGGGATAGAGAGAGAGAGAGTCACAACCTGGTGACTAACTAAATAGAAAAAGAACATAAGAAAAGAAAAATGAATACAGCATATGCATGTTTGTGACGAAGTACGTGACATCACATATAATAGTATAGTATTTGTCCGATTCTATTGAAACATGCCACAATGGTAAAGAATCCTGTGTATTATTTTTTAATCTTGCCACAAAGTATTTCATTTGCGGGTATATCATACTCTGTATAAGGGCTGTTTTCATCGTTCCACACTCTAACATATAACTCTTGTCCCAGGTAACGCCTTGGCCAAATTGCTGACCTTAAATTCCACATACCCTTGTTGTCGAGCGACACCAATATTGCACTCCAACTATTTGGATATACCTACAAATCAAGAATTACTTATTTTCAAGTATACTTATAAGTAAATTTACTAAGCTTAGCCAAACATAGACTTCACAAGAAACTGTGTTCTAGCTACTTTTATGAAATCACCTGAACTGTGTATCTGGTGGTAGCATCAACCAAATTATAAAAGCGTCTCCTCAAAGTAGAATTCCACTGGCCAGAACCAAACCTAAAATTTCAAGCAAACAATCAATTATCATATAAGCAAATTCATAGAAAAAAGTTTGAAATAATCAGAGTAAAAACAAAAAATTTCTTCCTACCCAACAGTCCAAAAGTCATAACCATCAAAATGCCAAGACTGCATGGTATTCTCATTGTTCTGAAACACGATTTCGATAAAATCGTGAAGAGTTGTGCCGATTACCGAAGTGCCAAGAACTGCAGGACCAGCAGGAGGGGTGTCCTTGATGGAGTTTAAGGTGAAGACACCAGGAATATTGAAATAATCAGCAAGTTTCAATGGGGTTTCTGGATTCTGATATGAAACCTTATTAACACTGTATCTTTGTCTTCCATTGATTTTTTCAGCAGAATTTGCGAGCACCAGTGTCCTGACGACATTTATGGTCCCATAATGAAATGACCCCTGGGGGTTAGGCCTTGCTGCATTTGCTGTCAAATTCCATCTACAAAGAGTTAACAAGTCAAAGCCTAGTTCATTAGTGAATAATGCTACTCAAACAGGGATTGCAAACAGGGGTTGGGACGGTGCTGTGTTGGCAGCACTTGTGTGGCTAAGGTTGTTCTTTTTTTTTTCAAACTATCAAATAATGCTGTGCCATGAGTCTTCCTATTTTAATACTCGTCACTTATCCTGTTTATATAGCATGATTGTTCATTAGTTCACTACTGAATTGTTTTGGTACATTGAATGAACAGTATATTAGAGATAAAAGAAGTGCCGGACTATCCAATATTATATACCAAACGAGTCCTCGAAGTTTAAGGAAGTGTACCTTATGGTTCGAGCTTGCTTCATGGACCAGTGAAGCTGATAAGTTGGGCCATTAGGCAGTGGCCCAGAGGCTGGAGATCGTGAACCTGCTAACTGAAGGACTGCAGTGGCAGTGAAAATGGGCTTGGTAAAACGGGTCGAAGCCACAATGAAATAGTCTTTAGGGTTTTCATCTACAGTAACCAGGAAAGAACTGGATTGCCCTACGTGAATATCAAGTGATTCATATACTTCTTGTGCTGTATGAGATCCTTCAACTTCAACCAGTCTCAATGTATGGCCTTGGATTCTAAAGTTTATTGAAGTTGTTAATCCCACATTTGATACCCGAAATAAGTAGGTTTGACCTGAAAAACCGAATACAAAGGTAAATTAATTTATCAGGATCGACACGTCTTGTTACAAGGTAAAGGTGTGTGTAGAACGACCAAAGTGGAATGCATTTAAAGTGCATGTTTGATACATAACACTACACAAAATAATTAAACAAGATATTTTGACTTCTTTTAGTGTACTACAGGAAAAGATCACCTTTAAATCTGTAAAGTTCAAGACCAAGATCGAATGGGAAATAGATCACCTGGTATAGCAGAAAAGGAAGTAGAACGAGGGAGGCCGTTGATGAGAATACCATCTGGAAGAGGAAATGGAGCTCCGGAATCTAGTATATTTTGCAATTCCTGCAAAAAAAAAATTAGAGTTCTTTACAGAACTAATTGTAATTCACAAATCTTATACATTTCCAAATTAAGATTATAAAAGAAAAAAATGAAAACAACCTTAATAACTACAAATTACCTTATGGTCTTTCTCCCACCAGTCACTCACAAGTACTGTAAATTCCTCATAAGGTTTTTGGTATGGCACTGGAATCACAGACCTGGCTAAAAGATTAAACCCTCCGAAACCACCAGCAGCTCTGTGCATCAACGTGGATGGAAAATATGTGAAAGTTCCAATTTGGTCTTTCATTTGCATTTTGTATGTCCAGTTTGAGTTTGGAGGAATTGGGCAGTTGGTTCCAAGAACTCCATCTTGCCATGAAGATTTTCTTTGTTTTACACCATTCCTGTGTTTAAATTTCCATTCACAAATTGATTTTTAAAGGTAAAATTCCATATCGTTTGTTTATGAACACAAAAAAGAGCCCATGCTACTCCTAAAGTTCGCTCTTAAGAATAGAATTTCAATACTCAATATGTTATCAGAACGCAAAAAACTTAACGTCAAATGAGTGTTGAATTGGTGTTCTCAACCAAGCCATCACGTTGTTAAGGAACAAAACAGAGACCAACTTATAATGATTTGGACCACTTCTCTTAATAAAGATGACCTTTTAATATGAAATCTCAAACCTTAATATGGTATTAGAGTCTATTAAATTTCAACGAGCAATTCGATTGGACTAAAACTTAAAAATGAGCATACGAATTTCAAGATTGGTCTGCTCAAATGAACAACCATCTTGATGGAACATGTTAAGGGATAAAAATCACAAATCGAATAAAGATAAAAACATAGATCAACTTATAAGGATTTGAGCCACTGCTCTTAATAATGTTGATATTTTAAGATAGAATCTCAAATCTTAATATATATTATAGGAGCATGTTAAGAGTAACGTTAACAACATTGGGTTGGGAGAGGAGGGAGGGGAACTGACCATGTAATGAGAAGAGGTTCATCCAGCTTGTTAATGACATTCACAATAACATTGTCATTCGTCACGGCATTAACAGTCGGACCAGGAAACTGTCCATTGATAAGAATTCCCTGCGAAGTTCAAAAGCCGCGAGTGACACATTTAGTATATTAAACTGGGTATGACTAAACAAACGCAGGTTCGAAATTTACCCTTTGTTTGACTCCGAGAGGTGAGATTTCTCCATAAGTTACTTCCCAATTTAAAAATCTGTACGCATCTTCAGCCTCCACATAGGAAACACTTGAACAGGCCAAAATTCCAACTAGAAAATGCAGGACAATGGCCTGTCTCATTTTCTCACAACTTTTCTTCAAATAACTAGTTTCTAGTTTCTGCTACAAAAATAGAAAAGGATTGAATTCTCACAATTAAAAATAAATTAGTTATTGTCCTTAACGTCATTGACCACCATGCTAGACAAACTAAGCTACCTTGAAAATTCTCAACTCAAAGGGTTAAGTAATATAGATATATTTTGTGAATTACTTTGTATACGTGTGCGCGCTTCGAAATATTAACCAAAACAATATTGACAAGAGAAAATCGAGGTTAGCATATCAAAATATATGTAAAGTGCTAGTGAATTTAGCCCTTGTTTAGTCTATATTTCTTAAAATTCATTTTTCTTAAACTCATATTTAATTATACATTCTATAGGATCCACAACTTTCATCAATTTTTCAACTGCATATTTTATCATTTTTTTTTTTATCAAAATCTACTAAAAATTTAATTTTAATCTAAATTAGACAGTGACTTAATGAATAATACAAGACTAGACAACATAAACGAATATACTTACGAAAATCGAGAATGACGCCGCCTCGATGGAAGGATATATTGAGAGAAATATCTACTGCAATTGACGAATGCCAAGTGACAAGAACTCATAGGACAAATATGTATATATAACAAGTGAGCCCGCGAAACAACGTTAACTGCTTGCATGTTAACATGCATAAGAACTCATTTTTCGAGAAGAAATCTAAGCTCATTTGCGCCGTACACCAAGCTCATTAATGCTTAACCCTTCCCTACACTATCTCCAACTTGAAAACTATGCTAGATCTATTTGACTAGGTCCAAGTTCGACTCCATTAACTTAAAATTCATTTTTTTTCCCTTTTATCATCAATCATACATTGTTCAATAAAATAATATTACATATAAATCTAAAAAAAATTCTTTTTTTTTTCTACCCACATTCTCCAAAAAATTACTATTCTTCTCGTTAAAATGTGAAATAATAGAATCCAAACGGGGGATAGATTTCTTGTAGATCTAAATTCTTTAACTTCAAAAGAATTTTAATTAATATTTAACACTATATATTTATATATTATTTTAGTTTCATGATACTTGATCGTGAATCCAAACGAGGTTTACATGAATTATGTTCCTTGTAATTGATGTGATTGATAATAGGAAAAAGTGAGTTGGGCAAGAATATCACTAAAACAAATTTTAATCACGGGTAACCAACTAAATGGGGATACTTAAAAGTAAATTTCATTATAAGTAAAAAATTTACTCAGATAAAAAATAATTTCGTTATTTATACACTCTTTTAATACATTGTAGCATCAAACGTCTTATTTAAATAATACACCTTAATAAAATTCCCTAACGATACCATCACTAATCATACCCCTTTAATCAAATACAATGTACCAAACATACCCTTAGAATTGTACTCGGTGTGAGACGGAGTATAATTTAAAAGTTAAAGGACAACCCTTAATGTTTATTCATTCCAATCAATTGTGATATTGATCTAATTGTTACCCCTATGATATTATGCGGGTGTGTGGTGGGGATTAAAATTAAATTTTTAGTAGATTGTGATAGAAGTTTTTGAAATGTGCAGTTGAAAAGTTGTGAGGCCCATGAAAAATGTGGTTAATATTGATAGTTTAACCTTGACTTAATTTAAAATTTGATTTTAATTCGAAACAAACAGAGTCATACATAGAGCGTAATAACGTTTTCAGACTAAATGAGCTTGGATTTGTCGGTGGAGAAAACTAAGGAGAATTGTGAATGCGACAAGGACGCAGCCAAGAACGGATCAACATTAATTAGCGTTATATAATTATAATTAATATGTAATAATAACTTAAAACTAAAATAAGTATGCGCGGCGGGAAAACATATCACCGGTTGTAGGGGTTTCACATGGAGAAGACAAAGGGAGAATTCCATGGATCCATTTCAATATTTCTAATCACATTCTGTTTCTAGGGTTTCGAAAAGAACATTATTGACAATGTATAAGTTGACAAAAAACTATTGGTTGAAAAAGCAAGTTATTCAAATTGTCAAATAACATGCCACGTGATATGTTATCAACAAATTTGTCATCCAACATTGTATAATAAGCACGATTGTTATTTGGATTAAGCTCTCTGTACAATATTGGATGAAAACATTGTTGACAATGTATAAGTTGAAAAAAACAGTTGGTTGAAAAAACAAATTATTGTTCAAATTGTCTATGACAACATGCAATGTGACATATTGTCAACAGAGTTTTTATCCAACATTGTACACCAAGCATAATTGAATTTATTAATGCCTCTTTTGTTAAGTAATAACCATTCACCAAATAATTTTGGTATTTAACATTTTTCAAGGAGGAGAGAGGGTTGTGTTAAGTGAAGAATTTTATATTCTCAATTTAGCGTAGCAATTTTAAGTTATGTAGATCCGAGATAAAATTGCAGAGTAACGCTATTTAATTATCGTGTCTGACCTGAGTAACGCATATGTGACATTAATTAATAAATTATTTAAATACAAAGACTTTGCTAGATAATAATTTGTTATTATCTAGATTGACGTTTGACACCATTAAAGTTAGATAACATTACTCAAAATTGTAAGAATTTAACTAAGAACGTGGTTCTTCTCATGAAATACTTTGCTTCAAATGGAGACACTACTATTTAAAACTTAAAAATATTTGCGTTCAAATAAGTAATATGTCATTAAATTTTAGTATTGTTGATAAACTCTCAATTGCAACCAACGATTTGATGGAGGTGGTATATCCATTTATCACTAAATGTATGACTGTCAAATATTTTTTTTTCTCATATTTAAATGTAAATTTGACATACTTTTAAGTACAACCAAACATGCGCAATAGTTAACTTTTTTGTCCAGTGCCTTAAAAAAACTTTTCATGTCTAGCAACTTGTACTAATTGCGATTTCATTTCTTTTCAACTCTTCCTGACCGTAAAGGATTGAGTTGTTTCGATTATTTCAATAAATCTAGCATTAAATTAAATGAAAAAAATAAAAAAAAAAATTCAAGATAATTGAACCCTAAATTCCAGCACATGTGAATCACATATAGTTGTGTAAAATTGCCACCTTCATCAAATGCTACAAGACTTGGACATTTGAATTAATTCCATGTGTATGTTGCGTGACTTTACATGTTGGCAATTCATTTTGTTAGTGTTTGTGTGTGTCTGAATCTCATTTCACAGCTAGACATCATTAAAATTAGCCTTCAATCCCAATTTTTCTTGGGTTTAATCATGTGCACATGGGAAGTTTAAGACGAACTTCCTTGTACTACCTTAAGAATTAAGACTTCTCTATTTATAGTTGGATTTTGACAGTTCAACTTCACTATAGAGTCTTGAGGTGTAAAAGTTAAGTTACCGAAATTCAGAGCGGCTGATACACTTTAGGCCCCACACGATCCGTGTCGAAGGCTGGACCACCTATAAAGTTATGGGATAAATTTTTAAATACCCAACTTCAGAAAAAAAAAACACACACACACACAGAGAATACTGAGATGCCAAAAATAAATTTGAAAAATGATTTTTCATTATAATTGTTCAAAAGGTAAAATGTTGTGTAACTTTTCATAAAAATGAACATTTTACATGAGTTATATGTTATCGCTTCTTTTGGGCACTACAACAACAATGACCGTTTACATGTTGTAAACGGCAACATTCATTAATTAAGTGTTGTTAAAGAGCTCTATCGCAACATTCTAATAAGTTTATTTTGTCATTGGTTAATATAATTAAGTTTGACATTTTATGAATGTTGCAAAAAGTTTCATTTTTTGCAAAGTTCTTTTGACTGTTACGAAACTTTTTGCAACGTTTTTTGACTGTTACAATGAATTCACTTTTTGCAACGTTTATTGATTGTTGCTAAAGTCATGTTCATAGCATCGTTTGATGCATGTTGCTAAAACTCTTAGCAATTGCTAAAAGTTTCAATTGTTGCAACGTTCCTTGATTGTTCCAAAAAGTTTTATTTTTTGTAATGTTTATTGACGGTTGTTAAAATTTGGTTCTTTAGCATCGTTCTTTGGCCTGTTGCTGAAACTCTTAATATATATAGCATTTTGTAATGTTCATTAACTATTGCGAAAAATATAAATTTTTGTAAAGTTCGTTTACTGTTGCAAAAAGTTTTTTTTCTATCTTGTGGGCCTCAAATTTCCAAAGCCCAATTAGAAGAGCTGGTCAAAATTACATAACCCATATAGAAATAGCCCATATGGGAAACCCAACTGTGAATTAAAACAAAGGCAAAATCCTAACTCTCATTTCTTCTTCACATTTGCCTCAAACACTACCAAAATATCCACCATTACCAAATGAGCCACCTCACTAAGCAAAATTGCCCCGCTCATGCAAAAATCTAATGGTCCCATGCCATTCAGCATCGGCATCGACATAGTAATTGGTTGTGCCATCGGTGAGTGGTTCGAAGTCAATTGAAGCACCGCCTATAATCATCTCAGGGCATTAATTGCATAAGGTAATATCCAAATTTACGATATTTTTGATAATCAAAATTGTATTTTCAATGTAGAGAGGCACAATGTAGAGCATCTGCTATTTGGGTATGAGCAATTTTTTTTTTTCACGTGATTGCTTCACATCGTACTGCTCTTATTATCGCTGGCGGACCCATGGGTGGGCCGGGCGCGTGCCCCCCCCCCCCTCCCCCCAACTTTGTTTTTTTTTATTTTCTAAGTTTTGTTTCAATTTTCGAAATCATTATAAGATGTGAAACGAAATCGAAATATTGTATTCATAATACTATTTCGAAGTGCTCACAATCTAGTTTTTTATGTCGTTAATGGTGTGCCAAACGATCAATCATAACAAATGTTACGACTTATCAAAATAGGCGGTTTAAAATTAGTATTTCGAAAATTTTGATAACATGCTAACTTTAAAAATTATCCAACAATCGTATTGTGGTCGAATCTACAAATAGCTTATATCATCTCAAATCTCGTTTCGAGAGTTACATTTATTATTTTTGTAATACAAATTTTTTTTTGTAATTTTTATTATTTTATTATGAAATTATATTAGAAAATTTATATGGGATATGTCTTCAAAAATTTTCGAAATTTTATATCTGAAAAGTCATATTCCATGTAAATTTTCGGATGCAAAATTACATGGGGTTTGATTTTTTTTGGATGTAAATTTTCGATTGTAAAATTTCTCCCAACTTTTTTACAAGTTCGATTGTTCCCCCCTAACTTTAATTGTCTGCTTCCGCCCCTGCTTATTATGAATGGTTGTTGAGGGATGAGCAGTCGCGTTGCCAGTGAAGCTTTATCAGTGACTCGAATAGAGAGTTCAAGCCTTCACGCGCTGATGAGACTGATAATTGGGTGACGTTGAATAAATTAATGGTTGGTAATAGATTTCAGAGAAGTGAAAGAGAAGGGGTTTTCTCGAATTCCCAATCCTCAGCTAATGAATCTGATAATTGGGGAATAAGGCTTTTGTACAGTCTGAACCTCGAACATATGAAAGAAGATGGAGTTTTGGATTAGAGTCCAATAACGGTGGTGCATATATAGATAATTGGGTAAAGAAAAAGGAATAGTAGGGACGCAAAATTGACGGAGCATTTGATAATTCGAGGGAGAGACAAGAGGCATTAAAACTAACTATTAGAGTCGGCTAGCCGTGTACATGCTTTCTGTTTTCATTTTGTTCTATTAGACGATTAGTTAGGCAGTTGGCTAAGAGTATTTTCAAGAGACTCTCTATTTTTAAAGAGCATATTCTATTATTTAGAGATCATCTATAAATTTAGAGAGTCAAAATTTTGACATACTCCAACAAACTCTTTATATTTAACAATTAATTTTACTACTCCCAAAAAATATTTATTATTTTTCTTTATATTTTATTTTAACTAAATTTTCTTTAGATTATTTTATTGTTTTTCTATATTAAAAATTGAAACATTTTGAATACATTTAATTATAGAGATTGAGTTTAGCTCTCTAAATTTGGAGAGCAAAACTCACTCTCTAAATTAAATGTTAATTTAAAGAGTCTCTTTGAGCATTATTTTAAATGTTGACTTTTTAAAATAGAGAGGATTTCATGTTTAAAGAGTCTTTTGGAGATACTCTAAGTTGTTTGATTAGTTAGTTAGTTTTGTTAGTTGATGTCTAGTTGGCATGCACGTGTATGTGTATAATTTATCAGCTATTGTACTCTTTACTTGACAAGTAATTGAATAAGATTCATTCTTCATTTTCTCTATTTTGGAGCTAACATGGTATCAGAGCAACATCTTCTGTTGTTGTTTCTTTCTTCTTCCTGAGATCTGAGTCTTCTTCTACTACTACTTCTTATTCATCTTCTTCTTCTACAATTCGATTTTTTTCTTATTTCATTCTCTGATGGAGTTGATACAATCTAAAGATCGAATTGATCTAAGGTCATCATCATATAAATCAGCCATTGATGAATCTTCAAGCCCTTTTTCTACACCATTCAGACAGTCCGAGACTTATATTGGTGTCTCAATAGCTCACTGGAGAAAACTATGCCTCCTGGAGTCGTGCAATGAACTGTTGGATTCAGAATAATAATATAGTGATTTCCTGGATTTTGAATTCCATTTCAAAGGAAATTTTTGCCAATGTTATATACGCTTCATCTGTAGCTGAAAATGTGGAATGATCTGAAGGATAGATTTCAGCATAGTAATGGACCTCGAATCTTTCAATTTAGAAGGAAACTCATGAATCTATCTCAGGAGCATAACAATGTATATTTTACTAGGCTCAAAACAATTTGGGATGAGTTGAGCAATTATAAACCCCATTGTAGTTTGGAGCTTGTACTTGTGAAGGCGTGAAGGAGATGAATAATCACCATCAAATGGAGTACATAATGTCTTTTCTCATGGGTTTAAATGACTCATTTTCTCAAGTCAGAGGACAAATTCTGCTGATGGATCCCCTACCTTAAATCAACAAGGTGTTTTCCTTGATATCTCAAGAAGAAAATCAGAGGAAGATTAGTACTCAAACTATTGTTGGAAATGATCATAATGAAGCTGTTGCATTTGCTCTTAAATCTAATAACAAGGCAGCAAGTAATTATGAATCACATAACTCTCACTCAAGATCTGGAATGCTGGGATCACCAAAAGGAAGGAGAGACCATATTGTGCACACTGTAACATTCATGGACACTCAATTAACAAATGTTACAAGATCCATGGATATCCACCTGGCTATAAAGGAAAATCAAGAGATAATTTTCAAATCACCTCTCGTTATAATCATGTCAATCAAATTTCTAATCAGGCTTCTGTTCCATTAAATACGCAGAGTGATGATAAACATGATCAACAGCATGGCTTTGGAAACTTTGTCCAAAATTTGAGCTCGGTCACTAACAACAATTGATGTCTATGCTATCTACTCACTTGACATCGAGTTCCAACACAAATTGTGCTGATAAATATGACAACAACATTATTTCATAAACTGCATGTTTCTCAATAACAGTAGATCCCATTTTTTCATCCAAAGACATATAGATAGTAGACTCTGGTGCAACTAAACATGTGTGTTTAGTTGCTGCTATTTTTATGTCAATGAGGTTAATAGACAACTCCTATGTTACTTTGCCAAACCACACACAAATTTCCGTAAGGTTATATGGTGACATCAAGTTGAGCTCAGATCTTATCCTGCAATTCAAGTTCAATTTATTGTCTGTCAGTTCATTGACCATTGGATCTCAACTTACCATCAATTTCTTTCATGATCGCTTCATCATTTAGGATACCAAAACCAGGAAGATGCCTGGCAGGGGTGAACGGTTTTAGGATCTATATATTCTTATTATCAAAGTTCTGAATTCAGTTTCCAGTACGTTTATAAATAATGTTTCAGCTCATGTTTGGCATAGTAGGCTTGGCCATCTTTCTTTTAAACGGTTGAATAGTTTGAAAGATCATTTGTTATGTGATGTTACAAAGTTGAATAAAAACACTCCGTGTTATATCTGTCTACTTGCTAAATAGAGGAGATTGTCTTTTAATTCACATAATCATCTGTCAAACCACCCCTTTGATCTTGTGCATTGTGATATTTGAGGGCCTTATAAAGTTACACCACATACGGGATATCGATTCTTCTTGACATTTGTTGATGATTGTTCAAAGTTCACATGCATATATTTGTTGAAAGAGAAATTTGATCATGTAACAGTTGTGTTCAAAGTTCACATGGATATATTTGTTGAAAGAGAAATTTGATCCTGTAACAGTTGTGCCAAGGTTCTTTAATATGATCTCTACACAATTCAATGCTAAGATAAAACAGTTCAAATCCGACAATGCTCCTGAGTTAGCATTTCATGAATTTGTTGCAAAGAATGGGGCATTACATCAATTTAGTTGTGTTGAGGGGCCACAACAAAATTCTGTGGTGGAACGTAAACACCAATACCTTTTGAATGTAACACAAGCTCTATTTTTTCAATCTAGAGTTCCAATAAAATTTTGGTCTGAATGTGTATTGGCAGCCCACTTTTCTGATCAATAGAACTCCATCTCATCTTTTGAAGCACAATACACCTTAAGTTTTGAACAACAAACCTGCAGATTATTCTATGTTTAGAGTGTTTAGATGCTTAACATTTGCTTCCACTTTAACAACTCATCAAAATAAATTCCAATCATGTGCAAAGCTATGTGTTTTTCTAAGATATCCATTTGGAATCAAGGGCTATAAAATGTATGATGTAGTTACAAAACAAGTTTTCATATCACGAGATGTTGTTTTTCATAAGGAGATTTTCCCATTTCACACAATCATTAGAGGTGATCATATGGAAGATCCCTTTCCTGGCTTGGTATTACCGGCTCCCTCTTTATCTTTCCATCAAGATGTCACCAACGAGTCTGATAAACACATCCTTTCACAAGAGCCTATAACTTCTCACTCACAAACCATTATCCCACTTACTCCTTCACAGGAGCATACACCTTTTCCCTCACAAACCATTGATTCATTTCCAGATCAAGCAAATCATACTCAATCGTCAGTCATTGCTGCAAGAAAATCAAAAAGAGTCATCAGACCTCCAAACTATCTCAGAGATTTTCATTGCAACATGCTTTCCCAAATTCCTATCCTGATATTCCTTTACCTTATCACATTGGTCAGTTTCTATCTTACAATAAGCTATCTCCTAATCATAAACATTTAGTGTTAAATATCTCATCCCAGTTTGAACCTCAGTATTTTCATCAAGCAGTCAAATATCCTTAGTGGCGTGAAGCTATGAAACTTGAGCTAGATGCCATGGAACTTAATATACTTGGTCCATTGTTCCTTTACCTCGTGGTAAACATTTAGTTGGTTGCAGATGGATATAAAAAATTAAGTATAAATCTAATGGATCAGTTGAC